CCTTAGTTTATAAGAAGTTGTACCAACAGATCAAGCTCATGCAATGTGAAACCTGTGACTAGTTACTGTAAGCTAGTTTGAGCAGCAATTTGATGGCATTTCTCTACTCTTTTCGCAATTATGCCTTCATTCATGCTTGGATGAGTACAATTTCTGGGAACAAACTTAGATTTGATGTTAAGCCTCCTAGGAATGGCAGAATTTCTAGCTAGAATTGGACTACATATACAATAATAGAAAAAAATAAATAAATGAAAATTATAAATTAAACAAGTATAAGAATATAATATAAGATTTACATGATTATGCCCAAATGTATGCTTTGGTGATAAATTTGATAACCACTTTTAGTAATCTGCATATGTCAGCTCATAAAAGAATAAAAAATTAGCACCAGGACCACACCCTCTCTCTCATCTGATCACCTCTCTTTCTCTTTCACTACAAACATTATACATTTTCACTCCATTTAGATCATGAGAGGAGGTGAAAAAAGAAATAATTGTAATTTTTCACTTTGATGAGAAAAGAAAAGAATTGATTATATCTTCTCACCATTATGTTTGGATGAATAAGAGAAAAGATAATGTAATTTCTCACTTATTTTGTTCAGATAGAGTAAGTAAAAGAAATTAAAAAAAAATAAAAAGAAAAAGAAAAGAAAATGTTGTATTTTATTTTATCAAAATAACCTTCTCTATTAATAAGGTATGTTTTTTCATAAGGGTAATTTTAGTATTTTAATTTTTTTTTTATTAAATCCAATTTATTTCTCACAAAATCTCACCACTTTTGGTGACAAACAAAATATAGGTTTGGTGAAAAAAAATTTCTCATTATTTCATACCATTTCTCACCAACTTAACCATCTAAACAAGTGAAAGAGTTTCATATTCTCACAATTTCTTTTTCTTTTTTTTCTCACCAAACCCCTCCATCCAAACAAAGTGTTAGGGGTTGTTATGTTTTATGAGATTGAGGTGTGGAATTAGATTCTATGTCCAATAAATTTACCAATCCATCATTTGGTTAGTTTAGTAAATGTTAGACTAATAGTTAAATATATATCATTTCTAATTAAATAGTTTAAATACTATTTATTTAGGACTAACAGTCTATTGTATTACAATCTATTCTTTTCCAGTGAAGAAATTTAATCTCAATTTAGATTTGCATGTGTATGGTATCTCGTACAAATATAGAAGAAAAAAATTGCATTAGAAAGGAAGGTAAGTGACTCTACATGCACTATTCCACTACTAGAAAATGGGGCATTTGCCACGGAACTATTTGCGACGGTTAAAGTGCCGTCGCAAAAAACATGTTTTTGCGACGGTATTTAATGACGTCGCGAAATTATTTTTGTTGCGACGGAAAAACTAGGCGCAACTGAAAGCACATGTTGAAAAAAAAAAAACTAAGGGGAGGGGGAAGGAGGGGGTGTATGCGTCTGAACCCAGGACCTATGAGGAGGCCTTGCTGGGGCAGGCCAGCTAACGTCGCAAAATTTTTCTGGTTTAATTTTTTTTTTTTTTTGTGACGCTCTTTTGGCAATCCGTCACAATTTTCTTTTTTTTCTCATTCACTCGCGACGGGCCTTAATATCGTCGCAAATAGTATTCCTAAATTGGCGCCAAAATTCTCTCCCACTGCCTCTTTCCCAAAATCCCCAAATTATCTGTAATTTGTTGGAACCAAAAAAAATAAAAAACCCTACCTCTATCTCATGCTCTCTCCCTTCGATACTCTACTCTAATCTCACCTAATCTCACTGCTCTCTCCCTCCCTCCCTCTCACCCAGTCGTCACTCTATCTCTCGCTCTTGCTCACGCAGACCCTTCCTCTCACCCAGTCGTCGTTCTGTCTGTCTTGCAGCGGCAATAACAGCGCCACTCTAGTTCTCCCTCCGGCATCCAGGTATAGCATTTATTTTCTTTCCTTTTCTCTCCTCTGGCCTTCTATCATCTGTTTCTCCCTGCTCATCAATTCATTGAAACTCTTTTCATTAAGAATAGAACAGTTCAAATGTGTGTGTGTTTGATTTGTGTGAAAATTGATTTTCTGTTGGTGTGTGTTTGATTTCGGCTCTGCATTGTGATAAGCCATAGACTTGGTTTTTGGCTTTGCCATAGGAAGTGTTAATATATGCTCGTGATCAATTAATTTTGTATGTTCATTCGCAACTGAACCTCCTCCATTCATCGTAATTGTTTTTTACTTGGAAGATAGTTTTTAGGCATAAACTTTTTCCCCTTTTTTCTGTTATTGTAATTTCTTTAATGGAAATGGATAGTATTAATTCAAGACAATGAAAATCTTGAAATCAATGTTGAAGAATGCTAAAGAGATAAAATCAATAAAACAAGGAAAAAAGAATTTTTGCGAGCAGCCCAGCTCATCTGGATGCTTGAAAATGATAGCAATAAAATCAGAGATGGAACAAAACTAGTATGAAAAGCAGCCATTTGGGACCGGACCAGAGTAGAATTTTAGGGCAAAGGTAGGAGTTGAGTGAAGTTGTGCTTGGAGTTCTTTGTGATCAATTTGAAGAGAACAACATGCATTGATGAATATTTATAGAGAACAAACAAATTGAAAGAAAATCAAACTGATATATCATATGGAAAGACCAATGTCATGAGTTTGATGAGAAGTGGCACTTCCTAGGCTTGTCTTGTATAGGTTTTCTTTTTATCATTGAATCCCAAGTTATTTTGTCCAAACTTAATATGTGTTTCTTATGTGTTTAAGTGATCGACATGTGTGTCTCCCCAAAAAAAATTTCAAATAGAATTTTTTAATATTTGTACAATAGTAACCTAATCACCTTGAGATAAGAAATGTTGTTAATGTGAATCACCTTCTTACATATAGGTTTGTGACTTTTAAGATTATTTTTTGGTGACTGATGCATTGAATTGTTATGTGGTCTGGTTTTTATTGGTAATGATACAATCTAATCATAATGAAAATTTCCATCTTTAACTTCCATTTCTGTCCATGATATATTTGCTCACCTATTGGAATGTTTGCATTTTTGTCCATGATATATTTGCTCACCTATTGGAATGTGTGCATTTATGATGTATAAAGTATTAGAATTGTTGTTATGGTTAATTAATATGTATGTTCATGTATACAGAATATATATTTAGGAGAAGTAAACAAAATGGACAAGAGTTGGATTGATTTGCCAAATAGGATGTCGAGAGAATACATGAATGGGATCGATCGATTTCTAGTGTTTGCATACACCAATAGGGCTGCAAGTTTGATGATTTGTTGTCCATGTAGGAAATGCGAGAATCGCTATCATCTTGTCCGAGATAGTGTGCGAAAGCACTTGATTTCAAATGGATTTCTAAACAAATACAAACATTGGATTAATCATGGAGAGTCGTATACTTCTGTGCATGGTAACCGAGATAATGAAGCCTTAGTGAATGAAAACATTAGGGATGATATGGTAGGAATGATACACGATGTTACTGGTATTTCAGTTCCTAGTACAAGTGTTGTAGGTGATGAACCACAGGCACCAACTAATCCCAATGTAGCAGAACCACTTGCAACTGATCCGCAGTTAGGTCCAGATGTAGAGACTGAAAATTACTTCAAACTTTTAGAGGATGCTCAGAGTGAATTGTATCCAGGTTGTCAGAAGTTCACATCTTTGTCGTTCATTGTTCGACTTTTACATATGAAGGTGCTAAATCAGTGGAGTGACACTTCTGTTACCATGTTACTTGAGTTGTTGAATGAAGCTTTCCCTGAGGGTGCGAAACTTCCTGATTCTTACTATAAAGCTCAAAAGATCACTACAGATTTGGGCTTCACATATGAAACGTGGGATGTATGCCCCAATAGTTGTATGTTGTTCCGAAATGAATACATCAATCTTGATGAATATGTCATATGCAAAAGTTCTAGGTGAAAACAAAATGGAGCTGATAGTTCAAATGTTCCACGTGGAGGCGGTAAACAGATACCCTCTAAACAAATGAGGTATTTCCCTTTGAAGCAAAGATTGCAGAGGTTGTATATGTCATCGAAAATGGCCAAGCTCATGAAATGGCATGCAGAGGAACGGCAAGATGATGGTGTCTTACGACATCCTGCTGACTCCCTTGCATGAAAATATTTTGACCGTCGAAATACTGACTTTGCTGATGATTGCCGAAGTGTAAGGCTTGGGTTAGCATCTGATGGTTTTAACCCATTCAGATCGATGAACATAGTTCACAGCACCTGGCCTGTTGTTCTCATTCCATACAACTTACCGCCATGGATGTGCATGAAACAACCATTTTTGATTTTGTCTACACTTATCGATGGCCCAAAAGGACCTGGTGACAAAATTGATGTGTATATGCAACCGTTGATTGAGGAGTTGAAGGAACTATGGACTGATGGTGTCTCTACATTCGATGCATCAACAAATCAAATGTTTCAAATGCATGCAGCTTTGTTATGGACAATTAGTGATTTTCCAGCATATGCAAACTTGTCGGGATGGAGCACGTAAGGAGAATATGCATGTCCATGTTGCAATAAGGAAACTAGATCGTGTTGGTAGAAACATGGTAGGAAACATTCATATTTAGGTCATCGCAGATTCCTATCTAATGGTCATAAATTTCGAAATGATAAAGTATCATTTGATGGTACTCGGGAACTGAGTCTCAAACTGAGATTGTTATCTGGATCAGAGATTTTGCTACAAGTAGAATCTGAGGGTATCTTAACCCAATACAGGCTAGATGACCTTAAAGAGAGGCATAGGAGACAAGTGGAAAGGGAGAAAGCTGGACCTCGCACTCATAGTTGAAAAAAAAAAGAGTATATTTTTTGAATTGCCATATTGGGAGCACAATCTAATAGGACATAACCTTGATGTGATGCATATAGAGAAGAATGTGTGTGACAATGTATTGTGGACAATACTGGGGGTTGTATGGAAATCCAAGGATAATGTCAATGCTTAGCGCGATCTGCAAGAAATGAATATTAGAAAACCCCTACACTTGCAGTCAAGAGGGATGAATAAAGCTTATTTGCCACCAGCACAATTCACAATGACCAAGGATGAGAAATATTTGTTCTTGAAAATGCTTAAGGACGTTAGAGTTCCTAACGGGTATTCATCAAATATCTCTCGTTGTGTACGATTACAGAATAAAAACATTTCGGGTCTAAAGAGCCACGATAGTCATATTCTGATGCAACAACTTATTCCTTTGGGTGTACGAGGATTGTTGCCTAAGAATGTTGTTCAAGCCTTGATTGAATTAAGTAATTTCTTCAGACAATTGTGTTCCAAAGTAAATCGTCAAACAGATGTAGCAAATATCCAACGTCGTATAGCACTAACACTTTGTCATTTGGAGAAAATATTTCCACCAGCTTTTTTTGATATAATGGAGCATCTGCCTATACACCTAGGTGATGAAGCATTGGTGGCTGGAGCGATTCAATTTCGATGGATGTATCCAATCGAGAGATATCTTCTTACTTTAAAGCAATATGTACGTAATCGGGCTCATCCAGAAGGTTCAATGGCTAAAGGTTATCTCATGGAAGAATGCATGAATTTTTGCTCTCAATATCTGAATGATGTGGAAACTAAATTGAATCGGCTTGTAAGGAACTACAATGGTGCAGCTAATATGGGTCGTGCTGTTGGTGAAACCATAACTTTCAACCTTGGTCATACTTCTTATGTACAGTGTCATCGATATATCTTGTTCAATACGAAAGCAGTTGAACCATTCCTAAAGTAGGTACCCCTCTTATTCAATATTTGACAAGTTTTTTTTGTTTTTTATTACATTTCAAATATTAATTTGTAATTGATAATTTTTCAACCTATATAGGAAACACCTTGAAGAACTTAAGATGAAAATGCCTCGTGCTGATGATCATCAACACCGAAATGAACATTTCAAAACTTTTCACACTTGGTTTAAAGAACATGTATGTATGGACAAATCTAGCTATAGGTTACAACTTAGGTCGATTTGCGTTTTGAATTTGCTTTCATGTTTTAAATAGGTTCACACTTTGCGAAGGACTGATAATGCCATATTTTCCGAAGAGATTCATACATTGGCAAATGGTCCTCATACTGGAGCAAGAAGGTTCACCGGTTACATAACTAATGGGTTCCATTTTCGGGTCAAGTCTATGGATGACCGTCGAGCCAGTCAAAATTCTAGTGTAGCTTTGAAAGCAGATACTATTAGTTATGCAAGCCAGAAGGACAAAAATCCTCGTGTGGGGGCTGTGTACTATTATGGACAAGTGACAGATATCATTGAAATCCGGTACACCAATGCAATGAAGTATGTATTGTTCAAGTGTGACTGGATAGACAATGTTCGGGGTAAGAAAAAAGATAATTTCAAGTTCACGTTGATTAACTTCAACCATTTGTTGTATCGAGATGATCAAATCGCCAACGAACCTTTCATCTTGGTATCCCAAGCTGAGCAAGTTTGGTATGTTGCAGACCCTATAGAATCAGATTGGCAAGTGGTTGTGAAGATGTCTCAAAGGGGTTTATTTGATATGTATTCTACTGATCCAGAAACTGAGCCATATATGAGTCAACAATTACAAGAAAATATAATGGTCCGTGATGAAGAAGTTGGCTGGGTGAGGGAAGTCGTAGAAGGAGAAACTGTTGATGTTGAAATAAGAGAGAATTAAGATATTTTGTAATAATTTTTGAATTCTGTAATGACACAGTAAATTTTCATGCTTTAATGACTTGCATATTTGGGCATGTTACTTTATTTAACAATTTTATGTGCTTCCAATTTATTTATTATGTTTATTTTGTATTTACATTATTAACTCCAAACTATTCTCTATATTTTCAATTATATTTGTTACAGCTTGTTATGGCACGAAAGAGGAAGCTTAATAATCCCTCTCGCACTATGGCTGATGTTTTGCGTATGCAGACACAATCACCACCACCATCATAGCCACCGATACAGCCACCACCACCATCACAGCCACCGATACAGCCACCACCACCACCATCACAGCCACCGATACAACCACCACCATCATCACAATTGTCTTGACCAACGTTGTCTTCACAGGCCACCACAGGTATACAAATTTGTTATGTACTTAAATTATATTAATTAAATTATTTCATTTTCACTATACATAAGCTTTCTAATTTCATATGCTAGGACCGACAACTTCTTCATATCCCACCTCAGGTACATGTTTGTTTTCATGTATTTAATTTATGCTTTTATTTATATGTTATTTATTATATTCTGATATAATTTGTTTATTCTTATAATGTGTTCCAAATCCAACGACTGATTCACAAGCCAACTCAGGTATAACAAATGGCTATGTATCTGATTACGTTAATTTAACTACAAGTTATTTATTATCAATTTTTGTAATATGTGTTTTTTTTTTCCATTACTCCTCACATGCCCTACAGGTTCTTTATCTTCCCCCCGAGGTCGAGGATTTGCGAAAGGCATTAAAGATTGGGGTACGGGCAAGAAGTTGGCCATTGATTTCGACGCCGACTTCAATCCTACTGGAGATAATGAGTCTAAGTTAACTAGCCAACTTGGGTTCATGGTACATAATGGGAACATTGTTTCTCTTACGTACGTTGATTGGACCGAAGTGCCTATTGATGTTCTTGAGTCAATATGGGCAGATGTTAAGGTAAAAGCATATTTACTAAATTGTTCAATTATATTATTAATTGAACTAATGATTTAAATTGTACTGTAGGATCATTTACAAATTTGTCCGGAGGGGTACAAACCACGTTGCTTGAAAAAGTGCAATGAGTTGTGGAAGGATCACAAAAGCAAGATCAAGAATAAGTATTTTAAGCCTAACAAGGATCATACTAATATCAAAGACATGGTGCCTTCGCAAATTGTTCCAGAACAGTGGTATGATCTTGTTGATTATTGGAAGACAAAGAAAGTAGAGGTATATAAAATAAGTTAATTACAAAGCACGTATCTATAGAAAAATTATTAACTTTGTATACTTGCAACTTACATTTATGCAAACTTTATAGGACATTGCAATCCACAATGCTGGAAATCGTTCCTTTCATTATATTAATCATACGACAGGACGTACTTCATTCACTCAGATTCGAAGGAAGGTATATATTATTTAGGTAGATATCAATATGAATGTAAATTACTGCGATAATAATTAATTTTTGAATTTTCAGATGGTTGCTGAAGGGTTGCCCACGGATAAAATGAGTGTTTGGAAATATACACGCAATCAAACTGACCCTGATGTTAGGCAAACCATGGTATTTTCAAATCCTTAAATTTGTATTTATATTTGATTTTGTTTGAACTACTTAATTATATGTACTTGTTATTTTAATTTATAGGATGAGTTTGAGCGCCAATTGTCCATGTTGCCTGAAGATTACCGCACTACCGAAGATGCTCGAGACAGTGTTTTCCACGATGTGGTCGGTGAAGATGGGCATGGATATTGTCGTACTTACGGCAAGGATGTGCCTTGGAGCATGGTGTATGGAGATAAATCTAAGTCATCACAGTCAGGATCTCAGTCATCGATTGTTGCCGAGATCACAAAGCAGGTTCGTACGGAGTTGAGAAAAGAGCTGAGAGATGAGATTAGAGAGGAATTGAGGGAGAAGATGCGAACAGAGCTTTCGACACAGATACAAGAAATGAAAGCTGAAATGTTGGCTATTGTGTCCCACGAAGGGAGTACAAATCACAACAAACAGGTTCGGTATAAATAAATTTTTTATAAATATCTAATTATAGCACAATTGTATCATTGAATATAAATACGATTAACAAAGAATACCATGAATATCATAGGTACCGGATGCATTGAGTGGACACCGTGAACCTACGGATTATGATGCCGATCACATACACCACCACCAAATGATAAGGTAAACTTTCAAACAATTTGAAAACTTGTCGTTTGAGAGAGAGAGAGAGAGAGAGAGAGAACAAATAAAAGAAACAATCTATATATATGTAAGGGGATTCTATATTTAAATGCTGTGGCTCTCCTACTTCTATCAAGTTCTCCACTTAACTAAGTTTGAACTAGTGGGAGTATAAGAGTGAACGATGCTTCGTCTGTATCTATGTTTGATGAAATTAACAACTAGGATATGATTGCATTATTATAAGCTATGTTTGACCTGATCAAGTATATCGTCTTCGATGTACTTTGAATAACCTTACAAGGAGAATTTTGTTTATTTTTGGTGAACTTGAGGAAAGACTAACTCTTCTTATTATATCATCTGCTTGTCTTCTGATGCTGTACTCAGATTCCTTGCACCTTGGCTTCTATTGTTGATTGTAGTAGATCAACTGGACTACAAAATTGTTTACTCAGCCAATTTAGATATTTCAATTTGTTGTCGTTTAAGAATTGCAGAATGCAGGAAAATGATGCTTGATGCTTAATTTGTTGGGTAGAGTGTCCAAATATATTGTAACTGACACAATTTTATCACATTGATGTGAGATGACTTGGTCTGCTGTGCAGAGCATAATGTTTGGCTAGCAAACAAGCATGTGAAGAAAATGAGAAATGAGCATAGGTTAGGTTATGAAGCATTAGATAGTAAGGTAGTTGTAGTCAGTGCTGTTCGTAGCTAAGTGCATACTTGGTTTTAAGTTTACTAGCTATGGGAGCACACTTGGTTGGTTTTGATTGAGAAGTGAGCATAGGTTAGGTTATGAAGCTATAGATGATGTAGAAATGCTAAAGAGGGTTTGGATGTAGTTTGTTACAGAGGATGACTGCGATCATTAGCAAACCATGACAAAAAATAAAATAAAATAAAAAATAAAGAAGAAGAAGAAATGCTGCGAATTTGCAGTCAATTAATGGACTTTTGTGAGTGAGATAAATTCACTGAGCACCACCTTATTGTTGTCATTGACATTATAATTCTCATTGTAAGTAGAAGAGGAAAAATTATTTGCCCACAATGAAAAGCCGTTGTTTAATGAGTTCAGGTCTTGCTTTCTTATTATTCCAAGCTTGGTAAAGCTAGGTATGACTGTGTTACACTTCCATGTCTTTCTCACATGGGCGTAGGTCCCACACCCATGTGAGAGGTTTGGTAGAAAAATTGGTTGATTATTTGGGATCCCTAACATAACTCTATTTTAGTTTGAGCTACAACAACGTAGCTTGCAATGATTTCTAATTCCTTTGTTTGTTCCAAATCTTACATTCTTGTGGTTACTTTGTTAGATGCTTAGTCTGCTTGAAAATAACCTGTCGTACTTGTGCCTTTCTGAATAGACATGTCCGTTCACCATGTTTATACTTTTTGAAAATTTACACTACTTATACTATAAATAATATTGTATTTACTATTATTGTAACCAGATTAAATTTCTTATATTATAAATATTAGGATAAAACGGAACTCGAAACCGATTCCCGGTTTTGAATCTAGAGCCTAATTTCCGTTAATAAAAACTTATTACGTAATGACTCTTTTTCAAACCGGTTGACACACTAAAATGCTCAAACGGGTTTCGATGTCAACGAAACTTGACACGCACAACATACTAGGCACACATGACTTGTAGGATAAGACGGAACTCAAAACCGATTCCCGGCTTTGAATCTAGAGCCAAATTTCCGTTAATGAAAACTTATTACTTAATAACTCTTTTTCAAACCGGATGACGCACTAAAATGCTCAAACGGGTTCGGATGTTAACGAAACTTGACACGCACAACATACTAGGCATACGTGACTTGTAGGAGAAGACGGAACTCAAAACCGATTCCCGGTTTTCAATCTAGAGCCTAATTTCTGTTAATGAAAACTTATTACTTAATGACTCTTTTTCAAACCGGTTGACACACTAAAATGCTCAAACGGGTTCGGATGTGAACAAAACTTGACACGTACGACATGCTAGGCACACATGACTTGTAGGATAAGACGGAACTCGAAACCGATTCCCGGTTTTTAATCTAGAGCCTAATTTCCGTTAATGAAAAGTTGTTACTTAATAACTTTTTTCGAACCGGTTGACACACTAAAATGCTCAAACGGGTTCGGATGTGAACGAAACTTGACACGCACAACATACTAGGCACACGTGACTTGTAGGATAAGACGGAACTCAAAACCGATTCCCGGCTTTGAATCTAGAGCCTAATTTCCGTTAATGAAAACTTATTACTTAATAACTTTTTTTCAAACCGGATGACGCACTAAAATGCTCAAACGGGTTCGGATGTTAACAAAACTTGACACGCACAACATACTTGGCATACATGACTTGTAGGAGAAGACGGAACTCAAAACCGATTCCCGATTTTCAATCTAGAGCCGAATTTCCGTTAATGAAAACTTATTACTTAATGACTCTTTTTCAAACCGGTTGACACACTAAAATGCTCAAACGGGTTCGGATGTGAACGAAACTTGACACGCACAACATACTAGGCACACATGACTTGTAGGATAAGATGAAACTCGAAACCGATTCCCGATTTTTAATCTAGAGCCTAATTTCCGTAAATGAAAAGTTGTTACTTAATAACTCTTTTTCAAACCGGTTGACACACTAAAATGCTCAAACGGGTTCGGATGTGAACGAAACTTGACACGCACAACATACTAGGCACACATGACTTGTAGGATAAGGCGAAACTCGAAACCGATTCCCGGTTTTTAATCTAGAGCCTAATTTCCGTTAATGAAAAGTTGTTAGTTAATAACTCTTTTTCAAACCGGTTGACACACTAAAATGCTCAAACGGGTTCGGATGTGAACGAAACTTCACACGCACAACATACTAGGCACACATGACTTGTAGGATAAAACAGAACTCAAAACCGATTCCCGGCTTTGAATCTAGAGCCTAATTTCCATTAATGAAAACTTATTACTTAATAACTTTTTTTCAAACCGGATGATGCACTAAAATGCTCAAACGGGTTCGGATGTCAACGAAACTTCACACGCACAACATACTAGCCACACATGACTTGATGAGAGAGATAAAGAGAGAGAGAGAGAGAACTAATACAAGACATCTATATTATTAAGGGGATTCTATATTTAAATGCTGTGGCTCTCCTACTTCTATCAAGTTCTCCACTTAACTAAGTTTGAACTAGTGGTAGTATAAGAGTGAACGATGCTTCGTCTGTATTATGTTTGATGAAATTAACAACTAGGATATGATTGCATATTATATAAGCTATGTTTGACCTGATCAAGTATAATCGTCTTCGATGTAACTTTGAATAACCTTACAAGGAGAATTTTGTTTATTTTGGTGAACTTGAGGAAAGCTAACTCTTCTTATTATATCATCTGCTTGTCTTCTGATGCTGTACTCAGATTCCTTGCACCTTGGCTTCTATTGTTGATTGTAGTAGATCAACTGGACTACAAAATTGTTTACTCAGCCAATTTAGATATTTCATTTGTTGTCGTTTAAGAATGCAGAATGCAGGAAAAATGATGCTTGATGCTTAATTTGTTGGGTAGAGTGTCCAATATATTGTACTGACACAATTTATCACATTGATGTGAGATGACTTGGTCTGCTGTGCAGAGCATATTGTGTCCCACGAAGGGAGTACAAATCACAACAAACAGGTTCGGTATAAATAAATGTTTTATAAATATCTAATTATAGCACAATTGTATCATTGAATATAAATACGATTAACAAAGAATACCATGAATATCATAGGTACCGGATGCATTGAGTGGACACCGTGAACCTACGGATTATGACGCCGATGAGAACCCACATACACCACCACCAAATGATGAGGTAAACTTTCAAACAATTTGAAAACTTGTCGTTTGTCAAAATTTGTCGTTTTGTAACTTTTTTTCCAAACTGGTTGACATACTAAAATGCTCAAACGGGTTTGGATGTCAACGAAACTTCACACGCACAACATACTAGCCACACATGAGTTGTAGGATAAGACGGAACTCGAAACCGATTCCCGGTTTTTAATCTAGAGCCTAATTTCCGTTAATGAAAACTTATTACTTAATAACTCTTTTCCAAACCGGATAACGCACTAAAATGCTCAAACGGGTTTGGATGTTAACGAAACTTGACACGCACAACATACTAGGCACACATGAGTTGTAGGATAAGACGGAACTCGAAACCGATTCCCGGTTTTTAATCTAGAGCCTAATTTCCGTTAATGAAAACTTATTACTTAATAACTCTTTTCCAAACCGGATAACGCACTAAAATGCTCAAACGGGTTTGGATGTTAACGAAACTTGACACGCACAACATACTAGGCACACATGAGTTGTAGGATAAGACGGAACTCGAAACCGATTCCCGGTTTTTAATCTAGAGCCTAATTTCCGTTAATGAAAAGTTGTTACTTAATAACTCTTTTTCAAACCGGTTGACACACTAAAATGCTCAAATGGGTTCGGATGTCAACGAAACTTGACACGCACAACATACTAGGCACACATGAGTTGTAGGATAAGACGGAACTCGAAACCGATTCCCGGTTTTCAATCTAAAGCCTAATTTCCATTAATAAAAACTTGTTACTTAATAACTCTTTTTCAAACCGGTTGACACACTAAAATGCTCAAACGGTTTCGAATGTCAATGAAACTTGACACACACAACATACTAGGCACACATGAGTTGTAGGATAAGACGGAACTCGAAATCGATTCCCGGTTTTCAATCTAGAGCCTAATTTCCGTTTATAAAAACTTGTTACTTATTAACTCTAAACCGGTTGACACACGAAAATGCTCAAACGGGTTCGGATGTCAACGAAACTTCACACGCACAACATACTAGCCACACATGACTTGTAGGATAAGACGGAACTCGAAATCCATTCCCGGTTTTGAATCTAAAGCCTAATTTCCGTTAATGAAAATTTGTTATTTAATAACTCTAAACCGGTTGACATACTAAATGTTCAAACGGGTTCGGATGTCAACGAAACTTGACACGCGCAACATACTTGGCACACATGACTTGTAGGAGAAGACGGAACTCGATCAATACTTCTTCTTTACAAACTCTTTTTGTGTTTATTCGATTATTGTTATATATTATAGCTCATTGTGTACAATCATTGCCTATTTTTAATAGTATTATCATCATTGTAGGATGTAATTAAAGTTTCTTTGGAGAGTTCTGTAATACCAAGAGTCCAATTGGCGGAGGGACTTCTTATTAGTGTTGATCCGTTGTGTGAAATTGATGGAGTTCCAATTGGACCTGGATTTTGCAAAGTTTTTGTTTTAAAAGCGAACAAGCCGAACGCTGTTTTGGAAACAACTTCCCGATGTCTAAGAACAATTAGAGAAGCTGTGGGAAGATATATTGTGTGGCGCTCGATTCATGTATATGTTACAATCTTATTTATTTATTTATCGAAATAAATATCAAATGCTTTACATTTTCTATAAATTTGAAGTTAATTATATTGTAAATGATATTTTTTTTTTTGGTGTTTTTTTCAGGTGCAACCCTTTTAAGTACGTGATGATATCTTCGCATATCGATATTAGAGTTTACAATCTTATTTATTTATTGAAAAAAATATCAAATGTTTTACATTTTCTGTAAGCTTGAAAATAATTATGTTGTAAATGATGATTTTTTTTTTCTTTTTTGTTTCTTTTTGCAGATGCAAACCTTTTGAGTACGTGATATCTTCGCATATCGATATGGGAGCTTACTATTGATATCAAAACAAGCTACATTATATCTGTTTTATTTTTTTATTTTTTTATTTCTATTGTCGATACTAAAAATTTGAGTTCTTGAATTTCAAAAATTATTAGTATTGTTAGAAGTTATTTTATATATTTTTGTAGATAATATTTGATTGACAATTGTTACAAGGTACATATATTATTCTTGGTATATATGATTTTTTGAATGTGAATTTGGATGTGGATGTGGATGTGGATGTATTTTTAAATATATTAATAATTTGTATATGAAATATTTAATAAAATATGATTTTAGAAAAAATAATTTTGTTGCAACAATAATAAACCGTCGCTAATGTAATTCTCATTTCCTTATATTTTATTAGCGACGGGTTAACCTGTCGCATATACATAATAGTTTCAATCTTTTGCAACGGTTTCAACTGTCACAAATAAATCTTTTGCGACGGTTTAAACTGTTGCCAATACAGTATTAACTTAATACTACTTTTTTGGCGACGTTTTAGACCGTAGCTAATAATACCTTTTGCAACGGCAAATACCATCGCTAAAAAAGGTTTTTTGCGACAGCAATCAACATCGTCACTAAAAATGCCGTTTTTTCCCCTTTTTTTGTGTCAAACGAAACTGTCGCAAAAACTATTGATTAGCCGTCGCAACAAGAACGTGACGGTTTGTAACCGTCGCAAATACTTTTTGTCACGCCCCTTTCCGCCACCCCCCATTTTTCGTCGCTGCTCTGTCGTAAAAAGTCTTTTGCGACGATATATGGACCTTTTGCGACGTTTGAGACCGTCACAAAAACTCAAGTTTTTAGTAGTGTTCGGTCAAAATTGGCCAATGTAAGGAGCAAGGATCCCCTCTTGACTTACTTAACTTTTTATCTGATAGGTCATTGGGTCTATTTTTGGGTTCAATTTCAACGATTTGAACCGTTCATATTTTGGAGTTTGTCATGTACATCATACCTGTAAAAAATCAATTTGATCGAATATCGGAAGAACTAAAAACTGTTTATTAAAAAAAATTTAATAAACAATTTTATTATTTAATAAAACTTTTAGTTCACGTAGTTTTTGATATCCAATCGACTTGATTTTTTACAAATATGATATAAATGACAAATTTTAAAATATAAACCGTTCAAATTATCAAAATTAGACCCAAAAATCGGCCCAAAAACTCATCAAGTAGAAAGTTATGTAAGAGAGTCAAGGAGTATCCTTGCGCAATGGAGGCACCACTGTCTCAATTTTCAAACTTTCCCACTCAGTGGGACCATAATCTACACCAATCACATTGGTTTCTCAAGAAAAACATACAAAATTTCACATTCAGGAAGCACCCACCGTCCATATATCCAAAACCAAATGCCCAGGATGATGAAGACACGTGTCGCTCATACAAAGCCTCCAAATGATTATAAAAGGCCACCCAAGTCCACTTAGCATGGCAGTACCACCACGTAGTATTCCACCATTTACATTCAAAAAATGTCTCCCAAGTGCTTTCTAGTGTTGTTACTTGCAGTGGTAGCTTTCACCACTGCCTCATTTGCTGATTTCGACATACCACCCCCTCAAGAGCACAGACCACCACCCCCAACTGGAGAACCACCCAAGGGAGACGAGCCACCTCCATATGAGCACAAGCCACCACCTTATGAGCACAATCCACCAACCCCAATTGGAGAACCACCGAAGGGAGACAAGCCACCACCATATGAGCACAAGCCACCAACCCCATTTGGGAAACCAACTAGGGGTGAAAAACACTTACTAGAAGAACACAAACCACCAACCCCAATTGGAGAACCACCCAAGGGAGAGAAGCCACCACCATATGAGCACAAGCCACCAACCCCATTTGGAAAAGCACCTAGGGGTGAAAAGCACTTACTAGAAGAACACAAACCACCAACCCCAATTAGAGAACCACCCAAGGGAGAGAAGCCACCACCATATGAGCACAAGCCACCAACCCCATTTGGAAAACCCCCTAGGGGTGAAAAGCACTTACTGGAAGAACACAAGACACCAAAAACCCCAATTGGAAAACCTCCCAAGGGAGAGCAGCCACCACCAGAGCACAAGCCACCAACAACCCCAATTGGCAAACCTCCCAAGGGAGAGAAGCCACCACCAGAGCATAAGCCACCTAGGGGTGAGAAGCTTGAGCACAAACCACCAACCCCATTTGGCAAACCTCCCAAGGGAGAGAAGCCACCAAGTCATGGTCACCACCCCGGACACCCTCCGGTGGCAAAAGTTGAAGACTTCCACAAGCCATATGTTCCCCACAAGCCACCCCACAAAGTTCCATCACCTCCCCATTCCGACTGATCGGTGTGTCTTTGTACTATGGGTATGAATTGAAATAAGAGTCATTACCAGCTAATCTTGTTTGTTATATTTTCTGAGTTGGTGTTGTATGATCGGCTTACTAGTGGTAGTGTGCTCATGTTATCAATTATGTTGTTTCCATTGTAGTGTGAACTTGTTTTTTTATATTTTCTGAGTTAGTGTTGTATGATCAGCTAGTACTAGTGGTAGTGTGCTCATGTTATATATTATGTTGTTTCCATTGTAGCGTTGGTGCTCTGTACTTGTTGGCTAGATGATGGTCAGCTATATATATGGAGAGAGGTTATGTAGCACTTTCATCTCGTAAACTAGTCCGGACATTTGGTTATAAAATAAAAATAAAAATAAATTATTTGTGGTTATGATTTCCTGTTCAGTGTTTAATAATTAATTATATGGGATTCTTGTCATGTCCACTCTAATTACATAATGCTGCCAAAATATAACATTTAAAAAAAAAGAAAAAGAAAAAAAAAAGTGTTATTGGACATAAAATTCGCAAGGCCTGCTCATGTGTAAATCAACTAAGCAATGCCTCAAGTCCCCAGATATCTAAACATGAATATAATACAATTCCTATTTGTAGATTTTTTTTTTTTTAAAGAATCAAATTAATCTAATAACCATAGGCATGTGATTTTATAATAAATATAATAAAATTAGGTAATTATAATTATGAAATCAACCAATCTCATTTTTTTTTAATAAATGATCTACACAAAATTTTAAAAATAATCAAATCAAACCATCGGCACGGGATCATTGTGAACCCATGGTTAGACTACACCATCCAGTCAATTTCTCTTCATTTGGAGAGAGAAACTAGACTAGTCAAGTTATAATTAGTCGAGTTGTTAGTAGGGAAGCGTGCAACACAAAAGTATTATCAAATTACTTCTTATAAAATTTGAACCCACAAGCTCAATTTTTTAATTCAATTTATTTAATTTTTTAGATGCGTGTATAAATAAATAAAAAACCAAATTAATTTAAATATTTGAAAAATGAACCATTCATTCCAGGCCAAAACTCTTTACTGCTAGATTATTTGTGCGAATTCACTGTCGCATCTTTTAGCTGCTAATAAGTCCAGCCACAAAATTGCATGTCAAGCCCAGCCCATCTGGATGGGCCCAGGCATGTCAGGGCCTCGGGCCTATTTAGACTTAAAGCATTTTATTTATTTATTGTTTTGAGCGTTCAAATAAAGGGTTTTCTTGTACAAAAAATTATGGTTACCAGTCACTTTCCTTTATAACTTTTCTAATTCCAATTTTATAAAAACCTAGGTAGAACCAAAATAATGAGAAGAAAACAGTAAAAAGCATTAAAAAAAAAGTGTCCTTTGTTTAACAGAATAATAAGACATTATCAGGGGAAAATAACATTAAAACATTAATGTGTCATGGTCATTCTCATTTAATTTATTGACAAGTGACGTGGACCGGCACATTGTTGAGATAACTATCAAATTCAAAATAGTTATATACCCATAAATCATTCAAAATTAAAATAAACAAGATTCATTCACCATACACATCCTTTTTTAGATAAAATTTTAATTAAAATTTTATGATAATTGAAATTATTAAATTCAAAGTTCAAAGACAAAACATACTTGAAGATGAGGTCTCAACACACCCTCTATAAAATGGCATTCACAAATTCACAACATCATCAACAACAACCTCCACAATACGCATCCTAACTAAAGATGAGAACTCTTATATTCTTCCTAGTCCTTACCTTTTGTCTCTCTATTCTCACCACCCTCTCTTTGGCTAATTATGGTGAAGAAGAGTAAACCCACAGGCTGCATCCCCAAAAAAGCACCGTCATGGTCATCATCATGGGCATGGGTGTGGACCACAGGGTCCAAAACCACCAAAAACAGCACCTCAATCAGCACCATCACCAACATCAACGCCGCTAGAACAAACACCGCCAACAACACCAACGACACCACCAACACCTATCGCACAGGATCCAACACCGTGGCACAATGGACTACCAAAGCCCAAGGCACCGAAACTAGAATAAAATGCCTACTAGTTTCATTCCAACTTTAGTTTTCATACTTTTTTACAGTACAACATATTAGTAGTAATAAGAGCTATGCTCAATTGCTGTACTCTTTTTAGTTATTCTATGATATATTTCAATTGTTCTCTATATATTCCAAATGTTCTCTTCCATATTTGAACTGTTTTTTGTTGAATTCACCCTAGTTTCATTCCAACTTTAGTTTTCATACTTTTTTACAGTACAACATATTAGTAGTAATAAGAGCTATGCTCAATTGCTGTACTCTTTTTAGTTATTCTATGATATATTTCAATTGTTCTCTATATATTCCAAATGTTCTCTTCCATATTTGAACTGTTTTTGATATGGAGTTTTATAAATAAAAGAATTATATGGTTTGGAACCTTTCATCCAAATAGAAAGATTACTTAATAAACCCACTAACAACTATGCAACTTTCAAGAATATATATGGGGTTTCAAATTTCAGTTTGATCTATCATGTCAAACTACTGCAATTTTAAGTTCTTAGCATTCATGTCAAGTTTCAAGTTATGTTTAATAGGGAGTTGATTCTCTCCGGTCTACTGGATTGGATATGTGTGACAATGGTGGTTGACTAAGAAATTCATGAAATAATTTGACCAGTTGATGATGAGATAATAATTTTATTTTATTATTTAAGAATATCGAATCTAACTTAAAACACTCGTAATCTATCTCAAATAACCCAACAAGTTCAACGCATTGCTGCAAAGTGACTTGCACTGTATTTTGAGTGAATTCTATCATTTTATTCACCTTTTTTTTATTAGTTTTTTTTTTTATTTTAAATTTACTCTTTATTTTTTATCTTGATCAGGGTGGAAAAATTGGGGAGGTCTCGGTGGTAGGGCGGGATATGGAGGCAATATGCAACCTTTAGAAAAAGACAAAATTAGATAATAAAAAAAAAAAAGACGATATGACAAATGAGCGATAACAATTGATATATCGGTTAAAAAAATTAACGATGATAGATAAGGATATATTTTGATGTTTTAATTGTATTATGCTTAACAAATTAAACTACATATATATATATATATATATATTCATTAAAATGTATTATTTAATGTGATAACTGAAGATGCTAGGAGACAAGGCAAATTGTCATCCTTAATCCACTGTTAATTGTAATGTAAGCCCTTAAGATTAGACAATTGTTTTGAATAATAAAATTCAAAAAAAAAATTCTCTTTTTAACATTAAATTTTTTTTGGTTTTATTTTTTTATAATTTTTGTTCATTTCCATATTATTTTCTTTATCGACAGGGTCACACTTCAAAAACTCAACCCACAAATTGGTTGACAGGCTTAGGCTTGGGCTTAATTTAAATGAAGTTCTCTCGTTTAAAAAAGCTATCAAGCAAACAAATAATTGAAAAAGATATCAACAAGGTTCTCTGGTTTCACATTGACTACCTCCATATATTTCGAAATTTTTGGGTGTTGGTCATAGTAGTAAACAAGGGTTGGGCCTGAGGGGTCGTCCGGCCCACCACTGTCCTATTTCAATTATCAAAATTGTATATTTTGTAAGGCTATATGTATATCATTTGTGAAAAAAAAAAAAAAAGAATAGAAAGAAAGTCAGATTCAATAATCATAACCTTTTAATTTTATCGTGTTTATCTCTAAAAAAAATAAATAGTTTATTTTCAAAAATACACTTGTCATTTATTATTTTTGAAATAAAATCGATAAAATGATAATGTTATGATTATTGAATCAAACTAATTCTTTTTCATATATAATATATATTGAAGACCCTATAAAATTAATCATTTGGATCATAGAAACAAGACTCATGGTGAGTTCCATAAACCTCTTAAATTTTCTCAAGTTTAAATTTAAATGTGAGATAAGCCCAACTCAGTAAAAAATAGTCAAAGAAACATAATAGCTATAAAGTTTGGAAAATAGTTTGGTATTAAAAAAGAAAAATAATAGCTATAAAGTTTTTCAACATTTCTAAATATGCAAAAAGTATATCAGGTCAAAAGACATTAACAATAATCGTACATGTGCGAAAAAACACTACAAAGACAAATATGTAGAAAAATCAATTTGTTGGCAACAATGCTATAGACCACTAAATTCCTACCACTAACATCATCACTAATGATGTGGAAAACAAAAAAAACAAAAAACAAAACAAAACTAAGACACAAAATACATGTGGCAGTGGTGTGAGCTCCTCCTCTATTGTAATCTTTCTGTAATCTCCTCATTGGTATAGTG